ACATAGATCAATCTCATTAAGGACAACAAAAGTGCACATGTAAAAACCCTTACAAAGGATTTACATGAGTCAAGTACTGTTTTACATACTTTTAATCTTATACTTAATGATATTAGTAGTAGGAGCAATTAGAGAAAGAGAAGGAAAGATTTAGGCAATTGGTCTCTCTCTAAACCTCCCAAAGAACTGGCCCTAGCTGATTTTAAATGTCTTTGCTTTCTCCAATGAAGTGAAATAAGAAAAACAGAATGTATGAAATTGAATTTTCTGGGAGGCATTGTTTGCTTTTAAATTACTAGGGCCACTTTTATTTATTTATTTTATTTTATTTTATTTTATTTGAGAACATACTGTACAGAGGGGTTACAATTACATGGGCAGGATAATGCATACATTTGCCACTTTTATTTTTATTGTTGCTAAGTTAAAACAGTGTGTGTGTGTGTGTGTGCACGCGTGTGTGCGCACGCACACATGTGCATATGCACACACACACATTGGTTCAAGGGCTTAAACTCAGGGCCTGGGTGTTATCCCTAAGCTTTTGTGCTCAAGGCTAGCACTCCACCACTTAGACCACAGCTCCATTTCTGGCTTTTTGGTAGTTAATTGGAGATAAGAGTCTCACAGGCTGGCTTCAAACCATGATCCTCAGATACCAGCCTCCTGAACAGCTAAAATTACAGGTGTAAGCCACCAACACACAGCCAAGGTCTAAAATTTTAACATACATTTTATAAAGTATTCTCTATTAAATAATGATAATAAAGCCTACTTATCAGAAAGTAACACCAAATACCATATATAACAAACACAGGGAAAGATCAACCGTGAAAATGGCAATACTTCCCAAGGCTATCTACAAAATCAATGCGATATCAATCAATATTCCAACCTCATTCTTCAAGGAAATAGAAGAGGCAATACAAAAATTCATATGGAACAATAAAAGACCCTGAATAGCAAAAACGATCCTTAACAGAAAGAACAGTGCTGGAGGACTATCAATACCAAATTTCAAAACAGCTTGGTACTGGCACAAGAACAGACCTCAGGACCAATGGAATAGAATTGAAAATCCAGAAATGAACCTAAAGACCTATAGAGCCATCTAATCTTCGATAAGGGAGCTAAAAAAATAGAATGGAAGAAAGACAGCCTCTTCAGTAAATGGTGATGGCAAAATTGGTTAGTCACTTGTAGAAAACTAAAGCTAGATCCTTATATATCACTCCAAATGGATCAAAGACCTCGGTCAAAGCAGACACTCTGAAAACATGACAGGATGGAATAGGAGAAACCCAAGTCTCCTTGGCACAAGCCGAAATTTTCTTTTTTTTTTTTTTTTTTTTTGTCGGTCATGGGGCTTGAACTCTGGGCCTGGGTGCTGTCCCTCAGCTCTTCAGCTCAAGGCGAGCACTCTACCACTTGAGCTACAGCGCCACTTCCGGTTTTCTGATGGTTTATTGGAGATAGGAGTCTCACAGTCTCTCCTGCCCGGGCTGGCTTTGAACCGCAATCCTCAGATCTCAGCCTCCTGAGTAGCTAGGATTACAGGCGTGAGCCACCAGCGCCCGGCTCGAAATTTTCTTAATAGAAACCCTAATACACAACAAATCAAAGAAAGGTTGGACAAATGGGACTGCATGAAATTGCAGAGCTTCTGCATGGCAAAGGACATAGCTAGCAAGATCAATAGAAAGCCCATGGCTTGGGAGAAGATCTTCACTATCCATACAACAGACAAGGGTCTCATATCTAAAATATACCTGGAACTCAAAAAATTAAATCCCCCAACAACAAATTCTCCAAGAAACAACTGCCCAATAAATAAGTGGGCTAAAGACTTAAAGAGAAACTTCTCTGAAAAAGAAAGAAGGATGTCCAATAGACACATGAAGAAATGCTCAACCTCCCTAGCCATAAAAGAAATGCAAATCAAACCAATATTGAGATACCACCTCACCCCAGTTAGAATGGCTATAATCAAGAATTCTAATAACAGATGCTGGAAGGGATGTGGACAGAAGGAAACCTTACTACATTGTTGGTGAGAGTGTAAACTTGTTCAACCACTTTGGAAAGCAGTATGGAGGTTCCTCAAAAGACTCCACATATATAGCTCCCCTAGGACCCAGCAATCCCACTTTTGGGCATTTACCCAAATGATCACAAACAAGACCATACTAAAGCTACCAGCACAACTATGTTTATTGCAGCATTATTTACCATAGCTAAGATATGAAAGCAACCCAGATACCCCTCAGTAGATGAATGGATCAAGAAAATATGGTATATATACACAATGGAATTCTATGCTTCCATCAGAAAGAATGACATTGCCCCATTTGTTAGGAAATGGAAAGACTTGGAAAAAATTATATTAAGTGAAGTAAGCCAGGCCCCAAGAAACATAGGTCCCATGATTTCCCTTATTTGCTATAACTAGTATATGTCTGAATCAAGCAGAAAAGGTCAGACAAGTTCATGTTAGGGGAATGAACCCCAAGATAAGTATTCAAATGTTTTTTTTCTTTCATACAATTGTTTCTAACATATTTATAAGATGATTTCTATGTTGCTTTGTATGTCCCTCCCCCACAGTATAACCCCTGCTTTCACTGTATTTGATGTTGGTATAATTTGTGGAGGGGAAGGGCAAAACCAAATCGTTTAACTAGGGATACAGGTGGACCCATTGCAACAATGAGATGTCCAAGACGTTATGTCGATAAACGAACTTTACAACTTTGGTGGGGGCAGGAGGATCAGATGGGGTGTGAGGAGAGTATGTGAAGGGGGGGATGGGAAGGGGAAACAAAGAGGAGACAACAATGCTGGATAAGAAATGTACTCGTTATCTTGTCCGTGTAATTGTAACTCCTCTGTACGGTATTCTCACAATAAATAAATAAATAGGAAAAAAAAAAACACCACAGTAAGCTATATGAGTTATCTGTTTAGTAAACTACTGAATTTCAAGTACCTAGAACAATGCCTGGCACTTAACAGGTACTCAGATATTTAGTGTATGAATATAAAATAAATAAAGAATCCTGCTACATTAGGAGTAACACTGATAAGAAAATCCAAAAGACATAAATAAAAGAAAAACTATTATAATACTTATAAGCATTTGTTATGGTAAGCAGAAACAGGTGTATTATTTTTAATTAAAATAAAATGAAAGGGAAAAACACCTGAAACTGTAACATGCAATAGAAAACTTTAACTAGAAAGATCTAGGATCTAAGTGAAAATACTGTTTCAACATGTTCTTAGATGTAAAATAAAACCTGTATGAGCAGATGAAACACATATTAGAGAGCAAAATGAAATGCAATGAATGCACTTTTAAGTAAACTCCTTGCTAAAAGACACTTTGAAAGAATGACCACCTTTCACTTCATATAGTAAAACACTCTAGAAAACTGCCCTTGATATCACTACTACCTATTAGTATTTAGTTTATGTTGCAGATATAATTTTACATGTAGTTTTAGTTTTCACAAATGACTCAATGAGATCTGTATCTTTATCACCCTCATTTTAGAAACAAGGAGATACTGATACCTTTATCAAAAAAACATTTAGACAGGCATTGGTCTGCTGTAGTGGGAAAGTCATTGGCATATCATTCTGGAAAAGTATTCCTCATTCATTCACTTAATAAATACTCAACAGATAGCCAATCTTTACTAAACTCTACTTCAGATGGAAATGTGGCAATGAAAAAGATAAACATTATACATCCTAATATTAGGAGATAGAATACAACCAAAAACTAAAAGTAACTTCAAAGCAAGAGGGATGAGAAAAAGGAATTAAAATAAACTAGGAGAGAAGTCACTTTCTGTGAGTATTCAAGAATCCATTTAAACAATGGAATGAGCTAGAAAAGTAAAATATTTAAATATAAATTATGAAAACTAAGCTGGGAAAACATTCTAGATAAGCAGAAAAGAAAAGTCCTGAGCTGGAACCAAGTACGGAATAGGTCAACATTCTTGGAGTCCAAGGATGAGATATGTGAAAGGAAGTAGGTGCTTACTAGAGGTACATATACGAACCCAACAACACCACTTCTAGGACTTTATTCTACAAAGATAGCCTGCATATTTAAAAATATGTAAATCTGGGCGCCGGTGCCTCACGCCTGTAATCCTACATACTCAGGAGGCTGAGATCTAGGACTGCAGTTCAAAGCCAGCCTGAAGAGGAAAGTCCATCCCTGAGACTCTTATCTCCAATAAACCACTCAGAAAACTGGAAGTGGCACTGTGGCTCAAGTGGTATAGTGCTCGCCTTGAGCTGAAGAGCTGAGGGACAATGCCCAGGCCCAGAGTTCAAGCCCCACAACAGACAGAAAAAAACAAAAAACAAAAAAACTGATGTACAGGGCTATATACATATACATGCATACACATAAAATAAGATATATGCAGGGGTGAGATTCCATGGTGTCACTCCTTTGAACAATTAACAGTTTAACAAAACAACAATGGTATTTGTTGTTGTTGTTGTTGGTGGTGGTGGTGTTGGTGGTGGTCGTGGGGCTTGAACTCTGGGCCTGGGTGCTGTCCCTGAGCTCTTCAGCTCAAGGTGAATGCTCTACCACTTGAGCCACAGTGCCACTTCCAGGTATGGGAAATTTTAACCCCAATGTCTGGTCATGGATATATTACACTATCCTCTCATTTCTCTAATTCATTCCCTGCAATCATTTCAGCTCACCCCAGCCTGCTGGCTCAGTTCACCTATTCACACACAAACAGCACAGTGTCACCAACATTTTGAATGAGGGGAAGAAAACATTTCCTTATACTTTAAAAACAATACATTCTAACTAAAAAATGACAGAACCAGCTCTAATATTTTCTTGTAGCTAAATGAACACAACTTTTATTTTAAAAATCAGAAACCACCTTAGAAACAATGAAAGGCAACTTAATATTCAGTTGACTGTTAGACTTGGAAAGCTGCAAATGAGTTATTCTTACCTCTACTTTTGTTCGATAAAGAATGAGTCGCTTCAGGCTGCATAATTTGGCAATGTGGTTGAAAGCTTGAGGTGGCAGTTTATCACATGATGAGAGATTTAAGTCCTGAAGATTTGGACACATCTCAGAAATAACTTCCAAGCAGGTTTCATTAAGGAAGTGGCTGCAAGACAGTTCAAGACGTACTAATTCAGATCCGCAACCCTTCAGAAACCTGTGAAAACAATACTCCATGTGAATTTCATAAAATTCAAACATATTTTTCTAAGAACTCTGAAATTCCATCACCTCTTAGCAAACATGTTTAGAAAAAATGTATTTCTATTAGAGAAAATATAACTTGTTTCGCTTAAATTTCCATTCACTGCATACTGAAAGATTTATGGTTAGGCTAAAATAAATCAACTTGAGAAGATAAAATGGATTCGCATTATATAAAGTCGGATAATGCTAACTGGAAAGTTCAAAAAGCAAAATACATACTTTTACTTACCTGTAACTTACTCCTGAGTTGGTAAACCGAAAAAATAAAACTGTAAACTCTTCAAGAAAACTTCCCCCTAAAACGTCCCTACTCGTTAGTGGGTAATGCATTTTGCATACTGCATACAAAATGACAGCTTTAATTAAATGATCTCAAAACATTCAACTAGCTTTCACTCAATTCAGAAAATTTCTAATTGGTTTAAATGCCGTTACCATTTAGTGACTGACCTGCTTGCTGTTGAAACCATTATGAAACATTCGATTGTAGTTTCTCATAAAATACGTAAGAATACTCTAAAATGAAGGACACAAAATGCTTGAAACCAGAGTACTTATCATAATTACAATTGGAAGAAAAACAGTTCTGTCCATAAACTATCACCTGAAAACAATCTAAAAGTAAACATGAATCTAGGAGTGTTTAAATCTATGAACTTTTATTAGCTAACTAAGCAAGTCAAATTGCAAACAATGTACCAATTATTCCAGCCTGGGTCTCTTGACATAACCTTGATATTGGTGCCATGTCAGCAATATTAACACTATTAATTTATGACGTAGCATTTTTCTCACATAATTTGAAGAGCTGACAACGATATACAAAATATAGTTGAAATAAATCATATCACTTGTGTAAATAGAGGAACACTAAACTAGAAGTCAAAAGATGGATCCCACCCCCTTACCTCTGCCTAGCAATGATGTGGGAACAAACATTCACCCTTGTCTCAGCATTTCCCCTGCTGTAAAAGTCAGACTTGAACAGCACTGAACAGCACCAGCCTTGTGGTTTTTCACTATCAAACAGTATGTGGAAGCAGTTTGCAAGGTCAAAGTGCCCAAACATATTCAAATATAGGCTAAATATTAACTAGCATAAATGTAAACAATAACAAAATTAGTTGTTATAGGTTCAATTACTGCAAATAACATAGTAGATCATACATATTTATTTACAGCTGAGCTTTTTTTTTTTTTTGGGGGGGGGGGGGGCGGGTGGTCCTGGGTCTTAAACCGGTCTTGGGCCTGGGTGCTGTTTCCTAGCTCTTTTTGCTCTAGGCTACCACTTTACTACTCAAGCCACCGTACCACTTTTGGCTTTTTCTGCGATTAATTGGAGATACGACTTTCGTGAACTTTCCTGCCCTGGATGGCTTTGAACCACAATCCTCAGATCTCTGCTTCCTGAGTAGCTAGTGCTACCAGAACCCGCCCAGATGAACACTTATTTTTAATTATTTGCAGCCTGTGTTCTGTTTTCCCTGAATTCACTTTTAACTACTAAAGTCAATGGACTCTCCTCATCAGTATTTATATTATGTGATTTATTTGTGACATTTCACATGACTGCCTATGCCTTCCTTAGAAAGGTGATTGATAGGCTCAGTGGTAGAGCGCTTGCCTTGCATGCCTGAGGCCCTGGGTTCGATTCCTCAGCACCACATAAGCAAAAAGAAAAAGCCGGAAGTGGCGCTGTGGCTCAAGTGGTAGAGCGCTAGCCTTGAGCTGAAGAGTGGCGGGACAGCGCCCAGGCCAGAGTTCAGACCCCAGGACCGGACCCAAAAAAAACAAAAACGAAAGGTGATTGATGGCTCTCACTCCTGTGATTCGCACTCCTTGATCTTATCAATGAGTTCTCACCATTTCCTGTGCCTGTGGAATGAGCTAAAAGGCACTGTACATGGAGTACATTCATTCATTTAGGCATGCCACTCATTTATTGAGTTCCACTCTTATGCAAGCAGTGATACAAGTACTGGGAATATAGCAGTAGACCAAAAGTAGTCCCAACTTTCACGAAGCTTACATTCTGGTGAAAGAGGGAGACTAGAAACAAATGAGTAAAATAAATAGTGACAGTGAGAGGGTGAAAAGAACCTGAAGTGAAAGGATGAGCAAAGCAGATGTTGAGAGGAAGAACATTACAAGCAAAGGGAAGGGCGAGTACCCTCCTGACAGGATGACAAATAGAGCAAGGAAGAGGAAGGAAGCTGATTCAGAAGGGACAATGTGAGGGGGAATGAACAGATCAGAGAGGCTGGTTGGAAGTTCAATACCACTAAGAAGACCTGGAATTCTGAATCACAAAAGGTTTTGAGTAGAGCAAGGACACCACTTCCTTGTGTTTTGTTAGAATCACCCTGGGTTTTTGTGTAAACTAATTTAAAGCAATAAGAATGAAATTAGGGGAATCATTTCAACGTTCAGGGTAGAAGATAGGACCCTGGACCAACTGATAGCACCAAATGTGGTAGTAAACTGTCTGGATCTGGACCAAAATATGACATATCTCTCACATACTGAATAGAAGTCTAGTATTATCTCATTATAATTTTCCTTTAGCCTGAATTTCTTTATTTATCATTATTTTATATTTGGTTTATAAGCTGCTTCAACGCCTTTGGCAATTGAAAGAGATCCTCACTACACACAGACTTTCTATGACATCAGATAATCCATTTGAGGATAATCAGTTGAGTGAATGAGCTTTTCCAGGTTCAAAATTCATTCATAAATTATTTTTCCTCTGTTTTTGCGCAAAGTTCTAGTGATTAAAGCTATTTTTTTCTTAATAGGGTCAATCTATTCTCAAGAAATATGATGAAAATAACATTTTTATCTTACTTTTAATATGTAAGTAATTGTGGTGAGTTCATTATTTATAAGCTAGAAATATGAAAATGGATACAGTTATAAGAGTTAACAAATGCCCTATTTTTATTTGATAATTCAAACTTATTTATATATTACAAAAGTTAAATGAGCATATTAACACTCTTAGAATTGAAAGCTTTAGGCATCTTATCTCTTTATGGCCTTTATTATTTGGCAAAGCACTTTGATCTACATTTCTTTTTCATATCTGACTTAGAATGACTTGAAATTCCTTTTTCCTTTTTGCTTTCATTATTGAACTTTTCTCCTGCAAAGAATTTATAGAGTACTGTCAAGCTAGTCACCAGGAAGCCAACTGTTAAGAGACAGAAGAAAACTTCCAAGTTGATTTAATGAATGATAGAATTTCAAAGTACAATAAAGACAATGACCATAACCATACTGCCTTCTCATTTTTTCTTCTTTACTCTCAGGAAAGAAGAATAGTGTGCATTTTCACTCTGAGAAGATTATTTGGTCAATATATGTCCATGATCTCTTCCTAACTTCCAAGTTCTGTACTACTTCCCTTTTCATAATATCTCTATCCCAAGAAGGCAGAACTAGCAGTTGACTGTGTAGAAACCATTTCTTTCCTTATTGGACCACAGTTACATACATAGTTGTATTGTTATTCAACTAGTAATTCATCTTAACCATGATGTCTCTCAAAAGAAAAACTATAGCTTCTATATTTTCTGAAGCCTAGTCATTCTACACTATAAATTCTCGTGAAGTATTTCCTGATATTGAAGTTTTTATGAGACCTAAGTTTAGATAAACAATCCTGAACTACATCTTCTACTATGAGGAAAAGGAGTCTCTGAAGAGAGAAATAAATTACTTATCCTCATGAGGTAAATTAATTTGTCCAAAGGAATACAAGTACATAAGAAGTACTTTACTAAATGGTAACTTAACATCACATGAATGAGTGATTTGATCTGAGTTTACTCATCACAAATAGTAATCCTTAACAACCTGCCTCAAGCATAAAGGTAAGGGGAGAATTAGATGTAAATATCCATGGCTTCTGATTCCTAATCTTGTACTTTGTGACCTGATCCCACTGAGTTTTACAAAACAGTGTATTTAAGTCATTTTAATTCAAAATAACTTGGAACATTATTTAATATGTGGTCCATAATAGAGCCATTAAAAAACTCCTTGCTTTTCTATGGCACTATCTAGCAATGCTAGAAAGAGGGTAAAAGAAAGTTTTACAGTTGTTTCTATTTTCTTTGAGTTGACGATCTGATATACAAAATATAAAAGATAGGCAGGCAACTAAATAAATATATGGATGGGCAATAAATTCCTTACACTACAAAACTGACAAAAATATCTAATAATGTTCTTGAGTCTAGAAACAATCCAGGAATATTTCCTGAAAAAAATGAATCAAAACTACTTAAGGTAAGTAGAAGGGTCAAAGGTAAAAACCCACATATAACTGAGGTAGAGCTCAGAGTGATTCAACACTGTGAAGAAAAATGGCACTGTTAAAGTGGACTTAAGACTTTTTGAACAGAATTATGTGACTTAGCACAAGCAGGCAAGGAGGCAAAGACATATCCAAGAGAAATGTATTATGAAAAAGGAATTATAATTGATGTGATTTTAAAGAGTAATGAAATATATGAGCAGTGAATAGTCAAGTCACAAATCTGTGGCTGCTATAGGATTTTAATAACAGATTAAAAGTTTTAAGTTCTCTTTATTCCAATTGAATCTACTCTTTGGCTATTCCAAAAATACAAATGTCTAAGAAGTTCTTTAAAATCCAGTCAAACAGTTCTAACTTGTAAGGATAAGACTTTTTAGGCAGTGAAAGTAAACTATATAAAACTTTCCCAAAGACCTGCTCAAAAACAAGCAGCTTATCATCATTGGTCTCTAGTTTTAAAATACCTTTTCTTTTAAGGATTATAAATAAGTCTTCACAGTAATGAGCATAAATAGACCATACTTATTCATAGATTATTCATTAATAATCAAGCCATGAATATTTATTGTTTATTCTGGGACTGCTGCCTATAAGCCATAATGACTGTCAATTCAGAGTCAAGTCAAGGGGCCCACAGCAATCAGCAGGCAAAATTCCAATATTCCCCCACCCACTAAATTTTTTCTCTCTCTTTAAACTTTCTCTTCTTAATAAAAACAGTGACTATGCTTAAATGAATGCTAGCAAAATTTATGGTCTTACTGGCTGATATATTACAGCAAAATATGGAAAAGTTAAATTTATGTATGTGCTTTTGTGATTATTCAAACAGCCCCACAGCGACTAACCTGGGTGAATTGAAAAGTGGAAGAGGAATTGCTAGTGAATTGGAGCTCTAACTTTGCAAAAGAAGATCTTTATCCATTACCATTCTAAAATTTAAAGGACAGCACTATTGGTATCTTCTCATACTGTTTCTTCACATGCATCTGAGTAAGCCACATACAAGTGTTTTTTTTTTTAATTGGATGAATCTTTGACATTTTCCTCATTGCTGTCATGATTTTACATGGCACTTTGTCCAAGAAGCTGAACTTCAGCCATTCACTACAAATGCTTTTTTCTTTTAATCTTCTAACATTTTTAAAATTTAATTTTATTGTCAAGGTGATGTACATAAGGTAGTGAGTACATTTCTTGTCAAACTTGTTACCCCCCATTTTTCTCCCACTTTCCAATGCTTTAACTGTTAGTTGCTACCTTGTTATTTTACTTATAAAAATATGTAAAGGAAATGTTTACATGTTTATCTTTGTATCTTTATCTTCTCTGTACAAACAAGGAACTGCATAATATAACTCAAATATATGTTACATGGTCCACGGGATATGTAAAAGCATAAAAGCAAATAATAAATTAACAAACAAAAGACAAGTAAATTCTTCAACAGTGGAAAACACTGGGGAAAGAGCTCTATGTGTAGTTAAATGTCTGCAAGTGATAATATAAAATGAAAAATAATTTTCACTGATATCACTTGTTCTGTCTCATATTTATTTTGCTGTGGTTTATGAATCAATAGACATACTCTTAATATTCAGCTATAATCAAATTCAGTTCTCCTTGGTTTTATTAGAATAAAATTTGTAGTTAAAGTGTTTGTCCTGGTGTGGAGAGAAGTAGAAAGGACTAATTGGTGGGATTCAGATGATAGCATAGTACGGAATGTATTTTGACTTGAAGTATTTTGAACTGAAGGACACTAAATGGTCTCAAAGCAGCTTCAGAACCAAGGTTTCCTTGACTTTTCTGCCCTCAAATCCCTTTGAGATATGAGAATTCTTCTTCCTCAAAGACAGGTCATAAAAACTAGATCTTTGTTTCCAACAAAGCCTAAACATACTTTAACCTTCACTTGCTTTTGTGCTTAAGAGCTGGCAATAAAGAAATTCTGACTGATCACTGCCCAATAGGTCATAAGGCCCTTATCCAGAGGAATCCTGCCCCATATTCAGAAGGAAGACATGCTGCTACAGAGTGGCCAAGATGACTCTTGCTAGGCTTCTCCACTCAGTCTATACTATTAGATCACACATTTTTGGTCCAATCATATCTCTATTTGCCTGTCCTTGCTTCACCAAACCTAAGTGTAACATCAGGTAACTTCTCTTTTATCCTTGAGTCTTCATTCTGAAGGCTCTTGTACCATGTAAAACTGTGATTAAGTAAACTTGTTAACCTTTTTTCTTGTTAACCTGTCTTTTGATATAGGGGTTTCAGCCATGACTTTTATGATAGACAGGAAAGGGGTCACTATGTCTCTGAACCTACAAAAGTGTTCCACTGGGCAAATGTCACTTTTCTAGCAATATATCCTGTCCCATGGATCTATTTCTGGCAGAAAAGAAACCAAGCACACCCAAGATATGCTGTGGGCCATTCCTGCTTGTGTTTGTTTTAATTTGATGCATGTTAATATCTTGTCTTGAATGTCAATGTTGATGCATTGAACACACTGTTACCAATGCACATATTATGAGTTCATTCAAGTTATTTCTTTCTAGAACATTATCTTTGTTTCATTATATGAGCCACAAGGAAATAAAGATCCATATATTAATTTCTAATTTATAGATAACTACACAAAAATGAGTTAATCAGAAATATGTGTTGTTCACTTTCAGTTTGTAAAAACAGTATAAAATAGTAATTAAGTAGTAAGTAATTTCCCCAAAGTTTCTAGTTCATTATCTAACTTCATGAAAATTATGGGATTGTAAAAATGTACAATGAGAATCACTACCATCAAGGTTAAGAGAAAAACACCTGTTTGTATCATAAGAAAAACTACTGTGGCATTACTAAATGAATATGCACTTATGCAAGCTTTCAAATGTTTAACAGGTGACATTTAATAGTAAGGAAACTAAATGCTTAAATAGAAAGGAGCAGAAAACACCTGGGCAGGTCTGCAAGTGTGGTCGTCTAGTTAGCATGCAATTGCATTTTCAACATAATTAGTTTAAATGAGCTTCTAAATTTGGGTGATGTATTGCACATGTAATTAAGATTTAATTAAAAATGTTCTGTAATAAATTGTTTTCCATTTCTGACAAATCACATTAGAGAGGTAGATTTTGATTTGAAAATAGTTTTTTGTTTAATGTGTTAATCATCTGTGCTAGAAAGATGAGAAAGGAAAAAAGGAGTTCTGTTGAAAGTCACTTGAGATTTAAAAAATAAGAGGTGAATGTATAGTTTCACTTCTTGTAATTATGAAGTTCAACAGGAGAAGACAGAAAAACTCATTGGATTTTATCAGCAGTACCATTTTAAGTAGTAGCTGTATTTCTTACTTATTTCTATAAAATATATAGTACACAATTAAAATTTTTTTATTATGAAAACTCTCATATAACAAGTATGGTCTGCTTATGAAAGCACTGTCTACAAAATGTAGACATTTTGTACTAACCTGCTAAATCCTGCAACAGAGATGAAGCCCCTATTGCCAGTCCAGGATAAATTGAGCCATTGGACAAGAGTGCATCGAGTCTGCAGAAATTCTAGAGAAGTGTCATTTACTTTTGCCCAGTAAGGTTGCAAATTGAGGTGGATGTATTGTAGAGGATCACAGCAATGCTGGTTCAGCAGTTTGCAAGTCTGTGCTAATCTACACAGGTCAGGTAATGTAAGATGATTCAGAATCAGTTGAATAAGCTACACAAAAGAAAGAAAGAAAATTAATCATGAGTGAAACAGTATCGTTTCATTAAGCGCATAGTATGGTCTAATAAAAAACAATGCCACTTCTAATAATATTTTCATATACTAAACTAACATTCACCAAAATTATCCAAATGGAAAGAAACCATAAATACATGACTGTACTGCATTCAAGATGGTTGAAATATTCAACTCATGTTGACAACTCATTTTCTTAGGATACAAAGATATTTTTATAATATGTTAAATAATAATTTATTTTTAGACTCAATATTTACTATACGGCAAACTTTGGTAACACAGAAGAAAACTTTCCACTCTCAATATTCTTAGAATTCAAGGCAAATAAAGTATATTTGTTAAGTAAGGGAAATCAAGTATATTTGTATCAAGTAAGAGACGTTAAAATTTTAATGTAGGCATTTAGCTTTTATTCTACAATTATGCTCATTAATATCAATGATCTTCAGTTTGCTTTCTCAGCTCAGTTTAGTCCAAATCCTCTTATAAATTTTCTTTGTAGTAACTTTCCATCTACTGACCCCTAACCTGTTCACTGACTTGTTCCCGCTTGTCTATGATGTATTTGCAGTTGAGACCAATCTTTCTCTCCAAGTGCAAAATCCCATTCCATGGTCTCTATCTGTACAACTATTTAAAAAATAAATCTTATCACCCACATAACCCTGTTGACATGTAAAATACTGCACAAACAAAAAGAAGACCAAACACTGAAGAAAGGTAAAAAACAAGTTTTTTATTCTCTTCCCTCAATTCTAATACTTCCTTCTCCCCACAGATAAGTACCATTAACAGTTTTCGTAATATTGTCTGATAAATGTTTGTGAATTTCTTCGACACGTATCTATTCTTAGATATGCACTAAAAGAAAATGTACCTGGTTCCACATCCTTCTTTTCTCATTTAATGATACACGTTGTAGATCTCTATCTACACAAACAGACCCACCTCATTCCATTTTGCTAATGTGACATAACTTATTGATGTATTTTCTTTTTTCCTATTGCAAATAATATTGTACTATCATTCTGTGTATGTATTAGTTATATATGTTCATCTCAGAAAACTGAAAATATATCTTTAGAATAGATTATATGCATTTAAACGTTTTGACATAAGCACAAAATTGCTCTTCTAAATATTCCATCAATTTATCTTTCAGCAATCAGTATATAAAATTGCCATTCACCTACATACTAGACAATAATGACATCAAAACATTATCATTTGGTGGCAAAGCAAAAAAAAAAAAACATGGGAAATGTATAAATCCATTTTTCCCCTTCTGCTCCTTATTTTTTAATATTTTTATTTTTTCTAGATTACAGAAATTTAGCCTTTGCCAAAATTTCCCTATTAGTCTCTATTACACAATTCTATTGTTTTATTTATGGATTCTACCATTTCTTTCTGCCTGCCTGCCTTCCTTCCTTCCTTCCTTTTTGTTGGTCGTGGGGCTTGAACTTGAACTCTGGGCTTGGGCACTATCCCTTAGCTCTTCAGCTCAAGACGAGCACTCTATCACTTGAGCCACAGCGCCACTTGCGGTTTTCCAATGGTTTATTGGAGGTAAGAGTCTCACGGACTTACCTGCCCAGGCTGACTTTGAACTGTGATCCTCAGATCTCAGCCTCCTGAGTAGCTAGGATTACAGGCGTGAGCCACCAGCGCCTGAATTAATTCTACCATTTCAAAATCTATGTAAAATAAATTTCTAAATTTTTAACATTGTATTTATTGGAATATGCTGATTGACTACAAATGAGAATCATGACTAATACCACCACCACGCTATCATTCTTTTCCAGAATTTTCTTGATTATTTTAACTTTTTAGGCTAATTTTTCAATAAAAATTCTGCTAGCGTTTAAATCTGGAACTTACTGAATATACAGTTACTTTAAGGAAAACTAACACTTTTGTTTTACTGTGTCTTGCTACTGAAGGGCATATAGTACGACTTACTGCTTAACAAATTTTTAAGCTTCCAAAGAAGTGATCCATTCTCCAGGTGATCTGTTTCTACTACTTCTAAGCTAGATCCTAGACCCCAAGAAACTACACTATCAGTGTCCCATAATCCTCTCTCCCAATTCTCCTTCTTTCCTCCTCCCCATTAAGTGTCCAAACTGTTATCATTTCATGCAAGTTAAGGTACTGTTACTGTAGTAAAATGTGAAGGGGATTTCTAGGTTGGTTAAAATTTGGATAAATTTCTCATTAAAAATGAGATTATATCATCTATAGCAACACGGTAGTTTTCAGTGGGAGACATAAATGCTTGATTCTTTTTCCCCTTGCCCCTTCCTGGATATTTAGAAAGGGTAAGGAGAGGTTTTGGAGACACATAACTAAGGAATATTACTGACATTTGATGTCCTGGAGACAGGAGTGATAAATATACTACTGAAGCACTTCCATAGAGACACACTGAAAACAAGACTTCAGACTAGGCACTCAGTACTGGCCTAGTCCAAAAATTAAAGTTAAGCAAATATAGACTAGCATTGGTTCTAAGAGAATTCAATGTCTATCTTACAAAATTAAGAAGAGTAAGGGAGGAGGTGGGTAAGAAAATGATGGGTGAGAATGTTGAAAGAGGTAACATTAAGATGCATTGTAGCAGGGCACCGGTGGCTCATGCCTGTAATCCTAGCTACTCAGGAGGCGGAGATCTGAGGATTGTGGTTCAAAGCCAGCCTGGGCAGGAAAGTCCGTGAAAATCTTATCTCCAATAAACCACCAAAAAAACGGAAGTGGCACTGTAGCTCAAGGTAGAGAGCTAGCCTTGAGCTGAAGAGTTGAGGGACAGCGCTCAAGCCCAGAGTTCAATCCCCACGATTGACAAAAAAAAAAAAAGATGTATTGTATTCATATATTGTTTTGTTAAATAGCAATCCTTTTGTACAAATACTTAAGTAAAAAAGTTATAAGAACAAATGACAAAACTACAGACTATTAAGTAATATGAGCACTCATTTTATAATATTATTTCTCCATTTTTAGCAGCATATACTCTTTAACATAAAGAATATAAATACTGCCTATACTTACACTGTATAATTATGAATTCAACTGAAGTAGGTTTTGTTATCTATTTGCATATTTGGTTATTATTAATAAAATAGTGTATACTTCATAGTTTACCCCAAATAATTAACATCAGTGGAATACAAAGTGGTGAACTTAATTAACATAATTTTGTCTATTTTTTCTGAGCACCAAAATATGCAAGACATCAGATTGCACACACCTTACCAATACTGCTATTCCTGATATCAAACAAAAATACAATAACTAAAATTTAAAAATCTGTTGAATTATATCTGACTGTTTGGCTTACCTCATATGGTAGTTTATCAAAATATCCATTATTCGGCCCTTCCCTTAGGGCAGCACTGTTAAACTTTTTGTTTAGACTGTCCATTCCACAACCATCCTTGTCTTCATAGTCATCATCATCTAGATCATTCATGTCAATAAGTGAAGTCTTGAGAGAAAGCAGTGGCTTGTCCTTCATACCATGTAGCACAACTGCATCTAATTCAGTGTAATAATCCAGAAGAGAGCTATTTATTTCCAGCCGTATAAGATTTGTGGGAAAATTTATCTGCTTAATACAAGGTTTAAACTGGCGAGCCTGGGAAGCATTCACCTTCGTAGGTCTCTCTGACCAAAGGGTCTCCCATCTGCCAAAAAGAGAAACTACCCTATAATATAGTTTAAAATGAGGTCTACTTGTACCTTAGAGTGATGGCCTATGCCTAATATATTACACTATAAAACAAAGGCACCAATAAGGTGAACAGATTAAACACAAGAATCGTTTCTAAGATAAGAAAATATTTAAAAAGCAAAGTATCAAAGACACTATTATTTAAATTACTTTACAATTTCCCCCCAAAATATAATCTCATTTTTTGTACATTTTACATTCATCAATTTCAAGACTAGAGGCAGAGGTACCTGAAGAATAGCATTCAGTTTGACAGAATAAGTAAACTCTAAGTGAGAAAGCCAAAGTAAATCCTAAGTGCACAGGATAAAGCTCTCTTATGTGCAGCATATCCTTAACCAACTTTAGAAACAAAACTGATCATGTATGCCTCACAAAGATCTCCTACTCCAGCTTTTTCATTCCTGTTACTGGTTTCACACAAACTTAAAACTTTCATGATATCTTGAAGTGGGGCAGTACTAGGTATTGAACTCAGGGCCTTGCGCTTGCCAGGTAAGTGCTCATGGAAGTCTTATTTTTTTCTGCTTTACAATTTTTATATACTTATTAATAATAATGAGGTTTTTACCCAAGAAAACTACCGGCTCATTTCCTTGACAAAATGACCTTCTGAGATCTAAATAAAAATTGATTACTACAGTAAGGAATTTAGAAACTGAAATTAAAAAAAAAAATGTGAAACTCAAGAAACAAATTGAAACAGTGGAAGCCACTAAACACACAATTACCCTAATGGTCATTAGACCAAGAAAGCAGTATAGATACACTCTTGGAAGAATAGTACTGGTAATTTGTACTTCAGTGGCTCAACAATCACATAAAAAGAAACAATGATGTTTAAATTTTGAATGTTTGGGACTCTAACAAATACTTTTCCTGCAAACAAATTCTTGAGCACACTTGTTTGATAACTCCTAAAACATGCAGAAAACTGTAGGCTCAATTAAAATGACAGGCAGTATAGCCCACTGGTTCCTACACAGTGAACCTGGTGGAATTTTTCATACTTAAATATGAAAATGGAATGTGTACTGGCACACACATTCACACATGTACACACCCATTATTATAAAAATTCCAACTGTTTATTCAAGACTCTGACCATTCTAATTTCTTGATATACACTGAGGTTTCTTTTGTGAAATGATAGTGATAATAAGAGATGTTACTATTTCATTTGTCTTTTTTTTTTTTTGGGTCTGGTCGTGAACTCTGGGCCTGAACTCTGGGCCTGGGGGCTGTCCCTCAGTTCTTCAGCTCAAGGCTAGCGCTCTACCACTTGAGCCAGAGCACCACTTCCGGCTTTTTTCTTTTTTTGCTTATGTGGTGCTGAGGAATCGAACCCAGGGCCTCGAGCATGCAAGGCAAGTGCTCTACCACTGAGCCACCTTCCCAGCCCTCATTTGTCTTTTTAATGTCTGCTTATTTATTAGCAAAGTAAACAACAAGTTTACTAAGTTTTTTTTTTTTTATATTTTGTAAACAATACTGTATTTTTTAGATTATAATGGCTGGCTCAGCTCCCTGCTCACTTGTATCCCCTTGTAAGTTCCTGTGCCCACTCTCTAGAAGGGCTTGCTTCACTCCTTGAGGCTGGCAGCTGCAACATGGTTCACAGAACTACCTTGGGCTCCTAGAGCTTCTCCATCTAGAAAGTGATATGTGTCTAAAGCTTTTTAGTTCCCCTTATTACCCCTCAAGCCCATAGTAGCCTAAAGCTGATGGGCAGACAGACTGGTATAGGAGAATAAAATGTCAAATGAAAAATGCATCTCTGTCTGACTTCTTTTTCTCTACTACTATGCTTTACCAACAAAGTAATAACATTATTCTCCTCAAGCATTACTTTAATAAATAGCTGCACAGGAATGGTAATTTCAAGTTCTGCTTCTGAAAAGTTTAGATGCAAGATGTCTTTATGAACCCCAAGATAGGGACATAAGTGGTTTTTTTCTTTCTTGCTATTGTTTCTAAGGTATTTATAAGGGACCATGTGAATTTTTTGTTGCTTTGTATGTTCCTCCCCCACAGTATAACCCCTGTTTTCACTGTATTTGATGTTGGTATAAATTGGGGAGGGGAAGGGAAAAAACAAAACGTTTAAATAGGGATACAAGTTGACCCATTCAACAATGAGATGTACAAGACACTATGCTAAAAAACAAACTTTACAATTTAGGCGGGGCGGGGGGAGGGGGGGGCGGAGGGGGGGAGTGTAGTTGAGGAGGTGGGAGGGAAGGAATGGTAGGGGAAAAACAAAGGAGGAGGCAACAATGCTTGATAAGAAATGTACTCATTACCTTGCTCATGTAATTGTAACCCCTCTGTGTAGTATTTTCACAAAAACCACTAGTTTAGACCTTAATAAGATCCTCTCACGTTTGCAGTCCTCATAGCTTACTCTTTATGCTCTTGGATTTTTCTCACTTCTTTGAACATGATGCTCTCACCTTTTCCACCTTTCTTACCAACACTAGAGCCTCCTTCATTTTCAGTGAATAATTATTTCTCCCTTGTGCCCCACAGATCAAGTTCTGCCCTCAGCCAGCACATGTTCACCATAATCTGACAGTTCTTTTCCAGGCTGGCTTATGAGTGTAGAAAACAAGAGCCATCTCTGTCTTACTCTCTGTTTTGTTGCCGACACTGAATTGTCAGAAAGGATTTCAATGAATGTTTCTCATTGTCTAAATAACTTCACCAGAATGTTAACAATTACTGAATCTGGGCAGAAGAAATATATATATACACACACATACACACATATATATACATATATATGGTATTGTTCACAATACCAAATCATACAATTCATAATCAGAAATTTATATATACCTTTCCCTACACTGCTTTTCTCTTAAAATTTAATTGCTCCTAGGAAATAAAGCTAAAAATCATCAAAGCAAATTAGAGACACATCTGTAAATTATATTTTAAGATTAATCACAATCATATGTTAATAGCTTTGACAAACCAATAAACATGATTTATATGCAAAATCAGTTACGTGGTCATTAAGTTTAAGAATGGACTAAAAACATTACATGTTTCACAGCTCTCATCCTCAAATCTGTTCAGTTCGGAGAAAAAAGTGTGTGTTCTTTTAGAAAATAATCAAAAAAATGTAGTGTGCTTTTAAAACAATTTTCATATAAGAGAAGATACTGTCCAATTTTCCTCTGGAGGGAAAATCTGTATACTGAAGGATACTGGTTTTTGTTGTGCTTTTCCTCATGTATAACACTATGCACAATAAATTATCAAAGTTGTTCAGAAAGGAACAAGTAAACAGTCTCAAAGCTGAGTGGAGCTATACTTTGTGTTTTTGTCCTGATAAGCTAAACAGATGTTCATTTAGGACTGAGGACAGAAACACCCAAGAAGCAGTGTGCCCTAGGAGTGGTGGTCATTCTCTAACTGAGTCCTCCTACATTGGCAGCTGGGGTCCCATAGTTCATGGGCATCTGTTAGTGCCCATGGCTAAATAAGCTCATAAAGACAGAGTTATTTCTTTTATACATTATTCATCAATGTGTCCTCAATATCTACAATGCCCAGAACGTAGTGAACACTACAATATTTAACAAATAAGTAAATTATGATGATAAAAGATCTAAAAACAGAGACAATTAACAATAGAAAAATGGGCAAATATCACGGTCAGATAGTTCAAGGAAAAGAAAATATTAGTAACTTAAAGAGATAATAATTTAACGAAGTTAATGTAACAATTTTCACCAAATAATTTGCAAAAATAACAATTAACATACACCGTGGGTGAGGCTTTAGCAAAACACATACATCCTTACATTATCAATGAGAACATAAGCTGGTACAGAAACTTGGAAGAGAAATCTGGCACTATCTATCAAAATTACAAATGTGCATACATTGGCCAAGCAAGCCTCCTAGGAAGCTCATCTCACAGATAAGCTTCGAGAACTGGTGAAGTGACCTATGCTAAGGTGATTACTGCATTAATGTTTATAATAGCAAAAGGCTGGAAACTGCTAAGTGCCAATCGATTGGGGACTAGTTAATAAATGGGGGTCTTCCCATGCTATATATTAGGTGTAGCTATAGGAAAGAATGAGAAAGCTCTTTTTATATTTATAGGACTGGATGCAATATATACTACTAACAGAAGCAAACAAGGCACAAAACAATGTGAATAATATGTTTATCTTGTGAATGAAACAAAAAATAGACACATCTGTATCAAGGAACTGTAAAAAAACAAAGTGAAGCTGATAAAAGCAATTTCTTGAGGAAAAGTTTAGGTCCTAGGCAGACAAAGAACAAGGTATGTATGATGCTGCATTATGTACTTAGATTATTGGCCTATGTGATATCAACTAACCAAATACTGTTATTTTTTTAAATCGTAATATGGAACTACAAAAACAAGAGACAGAGGGGGAAGCTGTTATGCAAATTAATGAACTTATAGGAAGAATGCATAAATTACTTAAAGGAATACTTATTTTTTCAATACATATGCTTATTACAGAATCATCCACTTAGCACTAAAACTAAGCTTTCTATAACCTCCTTTAAAGTATCATTCAACAGTCCAATTTTGAGTTGTTTGAAGTATATAAAAGAAATAACATGATTCCTATTTCAAACTATTTTACAAGTCATATTCTTTACTAACATTTCAGACTGGCCTATGGCCCTGTTAACTCAAATTGTGCTTTGACCTATGGTAAATTCTATGACAAACAAGTAACAATCTGAGAATACTATAATGTGAGATGTTAAGGGTAGAAAGAATGCATTATTATATTTTCCCTTTTGGAAAATTAAGGAAAAGTTCAAAACCAAAGTTGATTAATAACTTAAGAAAATGCTTCCAACAAAAATTAAAATCACCAAAACATTTAAAGCCATATAACCTAGGTTACTGATAAAGGACTCTTACCTTACTTCAGCTGGGGGACTTGGAGAGTAGGGATTTGCCGAACAAGCCAGAATTCTGATGACTGCTCCAGGATGATATGTCTCTAGAACATGAACAGCTGTAGGATACACCTGTTGTTCAAAGGTAAGTTCCACATAGTCCTGGCTCTGAAAATTGGGTGGTGTCCTCTTGAATGGCAAGGAAGCACTTGGACACTGATCCCACCATGTTCCATATGTTCGAAACACAGCTGTCTGAGTAAAGTCACCAGAACTTGGGAATACATTCGGAACACCTGCCAAGTTCCACATGGTGTAGGACATACTATTCTCACTTCCGTAATGGGAACTGAAATCCACTACTTCTTTGGCATATTGGACCACCTCTGCATTAAGAGGGGAAGTCCGGCTGTTTGATACTATAGTTCTATGGCTGTTCATCATTTCTCCTCTTGTAGCTGTCATGGCTCGGCGCCGAAGGCACATATAATAAAACATAGTCAGAACTGTTAACATGGGAAAGACTGGTGACATCTAGTCGTGAATTATGAAGCTTCAAAAGGTCAGGTGTCCTCAGTAAGACGCATGAACTCTGAAGGATGTTCTAAAAAAATGAATGGTGTGGTGAAGTAAAATGATTTAAATAAGCAGAAAAATGCATGATAAGCTAACAAAGCAGCTTAATCCCCAATATAATTTCCCAGAGTGAAACTTTGAAAAAAAAATGTTAAACTATAAAGGTGATTCTATGGAACAATTTATCTAATAGATGTTTAATACACTAAATATTAAATATCTATCTAATTTTATGCCAAAAGGAAAACAAAAGTGATATTCTAAGGCAATGAAAGATGTATGAACCCCAAAGCCCTATATTATACAAATTTATAACAACTATTCAAGAACCATCAAGTCCTTGAACTTTGAAAGTTACAATTATTTAAACTATGTGGCAGATCACCAAATTACTGCTGTGAATCCAAACAAAATCTTATGCATTGTCATAACTTCCTATTTTAACAAATGATTCCCTGTTCTTAATTATTCTTCTCTTCCCAACATGCTAAGTACAGATTCTACATTATAGGAAAAGAGTTTTGTGAGCTGACAGTTAATTCAGACCAACTAAATTAACTGCCTTACACATCACAGATCACCAGACAGTATTTAATTTATAACTCTTAGCATTATTTGTTAGGGCAGTTCTCGGTTGGCTGGCATCTGGTTGGTTGCCAGCAACTCTTGGAAATCACTCACCCCAGATAGAGTGGTCACGGGATACACAGGGGAAATACAGAAGTTGGCACTCATCCATGTGACCTGAAATTTGCATGCTGCTTTTAGGTATAAATGCTGAAATGTGGCATTCTTTTAGCTATAAGACAAAAGTTTTAGAAAACACCTTTTTAGTTTCTAAATCTGAAAGCCAAGCATGCCTCCAAATATTATAGCAAACTAACACTTATAAGATGCATAATTTTTAAATCAAACAAGCTATTTTTTCCCCTTACATTTGTATTTAAACATTTTTGTGATAGAATACAATACAAAAATAAATCCTGTCTCTAAAGAGGTTTTAGACCTATATAGTCTTGTTTCAAAGTATGTCTATAGACAAAATTTTCTGGGGCCAAGAGTGCTTTTAAAGTTCTGGTTTAGGGGCTGGGAAGGTGGCTCAGTGGTAGAGCGCTTGCCTTGCATGCCTGAGGCCCTGGGTTTGATTCCTCAGCACCACATAAGCAAAAAGAAAAAAGCTGGAAGTGGCACTGTAGCTCAAGTGGTAGAGCGCTAGCCTTGAGCTGAAGAGCTGAGGGACAGAGCCCAGGCCCAGGGTTCAGGCCCCACGACAGGACCCCCCCCCCAAAAAAAAAATTCTGGTTTAGATGTGCAGTTTCTCTGTTGAGTTTTTGCTGAGTTGATCTATTTTGTAAGCTGTGATAATCAAGAAGACCCCCAGGAGACTTCAGCTTCCCCACAGGCTGCGCTTCTGTCTAGCCTGTTCCATTCATTCACAGCGCAGGCCTGGGCCCTGCCCTAAGTAGGCAAACTCCTGTCAACATAAAGAAGGAAATTAAGCATACTTATTTTGGTATCTGTAAAGTTTTGGGATTAACTTTTCCTAAATAAAAAAAGAAAATTATTTAGCAAAGCAGGGTTCAACTTCAAAACTTTAGCACAAAACTTGTTACCCCCATCAATGCCTCTACCACTCAAAAACCTACAATAGTTTTCTCTGACATACAAAATATAATCTAAATTCCTTGATTTGGTATTTTAAGCCTCTCCCAACCCAGAAAACCCAGTGAAGTTCCAACAACCCTTCACATTTTTAATTTAAGTTTCTATTGCTCTATTCTTTCTTTTTTTTTTTTTGGTCCGGTCGTGGGGCCTGAACTCTGGGCCTGGGCGCTGTCCCTCAGCTCTTTTAGCTCAAGGTTAGAGCTCTACCACTTGAGCCACAGAGCCACTTCCAGCTTTTTTCTTTTTGCTTATGTGGTACTGGGGAATCGAACCCAGGGCCTCATGCATGCAAGGCAAGTGCTCTACCACTGAGCCACCTCCCCAGCCCTGCTCTATTATTTCTTTCTGAACCATTTCATTCTATATTAATAATGACACTGCACCAAATGACACTGCATTTGTATCAGACCTAGTTCTACCAAATTCTATGTTAGGATTAAGGAGAGTCCAGTGAAACATCTTCTTTTCTTCAAGCACTCTGTTTTGTTTGTTTGTTTGTTTTTTGTCGGTCAGTCGGTTGTAGGGCTTGAACTCTGGGCTTGGGCACTATCCCTCAGCTCTTCAGCTCAAGGTGAGCACTCTACTGCTTGAGCTACAGAGCCACTTCCGGTTTTCTAGTGGTTTATTGGAGATAAGAGTCTCATGGATTTTCCTTGCCCCGACTGGCTTTGAACTGTGATCCTCAGATTTCAGCCTCCTGAGTAGCTAGGATTATAGGCATGAGCCACTGGCACCCTGCTTTCTTCAAGCACTCTGTATAGTGTAGATGCAAATTAGTTGGCTTGATAGAATATCAGTGAGAAAGCAAAAAAAAATGTATGCGTCTTACTTTTACAATCTACATCCTTCTTCCTTTCAATGCCACCTAAGTCCCAACACACTAATATGCTAAAAACATATGAATGAAACTGTAAGTAAAAGGATGAGATTGAAACAAGAACACACAGTTATAAGAAGAGGAAAGTCAAGAGCAGGAAACAGGAGCAGAAGCTAACCTGAGTCATCGAATTAGTAATAGTTATAATGGTTTCAAGTAAATCTATACAGGGTATTATCTCAAGACACAGGGTATATTGGAAGGACCTTCATAAAGCTAAAACTCAGCAAAGATCACCCTATCCACAAAACCTAGATTGTGAAAACTTAGCTCACTCCCAGGAAGCCTGAATAGGTATGATATTAACTAAAACAATCCAAGGAAAATCACCAGAGAATATCTAGATACTCTGAGGCCAAAATTCACACTACATTTGTGGTTTAGAATCACTGTATTCTGAAGTCCAAAAATGGAAAAAGGAACTGAGTACTTAGTTGGTACAATGTTAGGATGTAGTAGGAACAAATGTGAAACCTCTTTGCAAGGATGTTTAATAGATCAAACCCTTACTAAAGATTCATCACACATACTACTACAAAAATAAACTACAATGAAGTCACTCGATAGATGGACCAAAGGGAGGAATTTATATCCCAAAGAACAAGAAACATAAGAACCTGGAATTTCTGGAGAAAAGAAAGTACTTATTAAAACTATCAACATGCTGCATACTGACATTGGATAGATGGAGTTGTATGACTTTTGGACATCACTTCTCACTCAACAACTAAGATCCTTCTAGCTGGGTGCCAATGGCTCACACCTGTAATCCTAGCTATTCAGAACGCTGAGATTTGAAGATCAAGGTGAGACACTAGCCTGAGCAAGAAAGTCCCTGAGACTATTTCCAATAAATTTTCAAAAAAGCTAGAAGTGGAGCTGTGGCTAAAGTGGTAGAGCATTATTAGCCTTGAGCAAAAAGCTTAGAAATAGCACCCAGGACCTAAATTCAATCTTTCAGACCTAAGGGAAAAAAATCTTTCTACTTTCAAAGAAAAAAAAAAGTACTTATCAGAAAGCAGAAACAGTTTAATAAAACAAAAGACCTCTTCAAAATAAGATATTATCACTCATGTGAGCATCACAACTATTCTTGGCAAAAAAGAAGATCACAGCAAGCTGTGAAGTAACAAAGCCACAAACTTTTAACTGTTTGTTAACAAGTTTTCACCATGGCAGGTCAGCAAGTCTGTCATATGGCCTATCTTATTTTTTAAGATGTATTAAAGTTAAGTAAAATTAAGAAAACATATATAAAAACTGTTCATACACAAAGTAAAATGGATGCTGTTTTTCCAACACTAAATAAAAATAATTTAATCCTTGGAAAACTAAAACTAAAATGATTAAACATCTTTTATTTATTTATTAAGTTTTGTGCCAATTAGTACTGGGGCTTCAACTCAGGACAATGTTTTGTACCTTAGCTTCTTCATCAACACTGGTACTCTATCACTTTTATCATAGCTCCACTTTCAGATGTTTGCTGGTTAATTTGAGGTAAGAGTCTAATATATTTTCCTGCCCAGACTGGCTTCAAATTTCAACCCTCAGATATCAGCCTCTTATATAGTTAGAATTCCAAGTGTAAAACAGTTACACCCCCAGCTCATAATACGCATGTTCGTGTGATGGGGCTTGAACTCCAGGCCGAGGGGCTGCCCCTGAGCTTTTTGCTCAAGGCTAGCACTCTACCAGTTCAGCCAAAGCTCTATTTTTGGCTTTTAATTGGAGATTAGAGTCTCAAGGACTTTATTACCCAGGTTGGCTTTGAACCATGATCCTAAAATCTCAGCCTCTTGTGTAGACAGGATTACAGGTATAAGCTACCAGCACCTGGTTCTAAGTGTGTTTTTTTTTGTTTTTTGGTGGGGGGTCTGGTCGTGGGGCCTGAACTCTGGGCCCAAGCGCTGTCCCTCAGCTCTTCAGCTTTAAATGTGTTTTTAAAGAAACAAAGTAATGTTTGGTACAATGTCAAAGCCAATGTACTTATTGAACCTAGTTGATTCTAAAGCCCTTTCCAACACACTAAGATGACACATAAAAGTGTTTCAGGCATAGAGAGGAACACATGCAAAAGAAAGGACAGCTTCTTTCCACTTTTCCCTGAGAAATGAATGAAGCTAAGAAAGGAAAAGTCTTAGGACTTGTGTGGTAGCCTCCACCAATGCAGAAGTCAGCACTCTCCATTGACTATCAGAAACATTGCCAAGGCACAGAGGTGGTATGAACATTCAAGGAGGCGATGAACCTTCTGGAGGGCAATACAAACCTCCAAAGGGCAATATACCAACTGCAAAAGATACAATAATTTGATCTTATGAAGCAAATAGGATTCAAAAGCAAACAATTTTTCCCATTTGGACAAACAAATATTAATCTGGAACACTAGGTTTTCCAAAAAGGTTGATTATTAAATACAGCATTAGGGAGACATTTTCTTTTCTAGTTCATTTAAACAGCTACCTAAATTTTAAAGTAACAGATAAAAATAGTCTATTTGTGGCTTAACCAATCACTTGTCAACAGTGACTATGAGGTGGGAAATTCTCCACTGACACACTGAACTTTTATATGCACACACAATCAAGAAATACAAACAACAGCAATTTTAACTTGTGTCTTGAGACTTTCATATTCCTTGGGAAACAACCTGCTTTATATGACATGATTTTTATTATAATACAGCTTCAACCACATCTTTCATTTTATAAAATGTTTAACGAAGTTAAATAATACAATTACAGAGAAAGCAGTAACAGTGGAAAAGCAAAATTAAGAGGTATAGACAAGGGAGAACATATGTTTACTACTGAGATTTGGAGTGAGATGGGGAGTCGATGAGGCGGAGAAAAGCAGGATGGCAGGCACTGCAGAGAATGCACTCACTAGAAGAGGGAGAAAGAGGAAGGAAAAGGATGGCATGAAATAAACAAAATGAAGCAACTGAACAATTTAGAGCTGGAGCAAAGCAAAGGAGGGGCTCATAGTGTGATAGAAGATCTGGAAAACAAGTTTAAAACTCAAAAGAGGGTTCTCAACTTTAAAGTATAAGACATGAAAAAGGTGAAAATGATAAACAATAAGCCACATTGCAGACAATTCAAAGCACCGTAGATACTTGCAAAATAACCACAGAAACATGTCAATGAAGTGAGAGAAGAAAAGGAGGCACAGACTGAAACTCAGTAGACTGCAAAGTATAGTAACAAATATAGTAACAAACAAAATACAGTAACAAAATAGAGTGACAAAAT